CGCTCTAAGCTTCCGCGTCATGACTTCCACCAGTGCCCTTACCACGCTGATCACTGGGTCCAAAGAGCCAACTCCGGCACGGAAGGTAAAGGAAGTAGCCCCTCAGTCCGACGCGAGACAGAGAAGGGGGGAGAAAGAGAGAGAGAGAGAGACAGCTGTGAGGTACGCAGCCAGCGGAAGGGTCGCCCTGGCTCGCTGCATCGCCTGGAGCATCGGAAGATCACCCTGTGCACGTTCAGAAAACCCCCAGGACTCGCTGATATCCTGTTACATCATCTTCCCCCTCCCCTTCCTCCTCTTACGTCTCGTCCACCTCGTCCGCCAGCCTAGTGTCGACAGAAGCTGGCCCGTTCTGGTTGCGTCAAGACTTTTCCCCGTCAGCCTCACCCTCTGACCATGTATACTGTCTGTCAGGCAGCTGCCTGCAGATGTTAAAGTCCCAGGCATCCTCATCCGCCCTCATCTTTTTCCCTCTTGTGGCCTTGCGGATGAGCGCACTCTGTCCCGCAGGAGCGGCGCTACTCGATCCTCCCTCGTCCACAACCTTCCCATATGTTCCCGCTGCTATTCGTCCTTCGCCCCCTTTTCCAAATCCGCGCGCCCCCCCCCCTCCGCGTCCCCGTCCCTGTTCCCGTCCTCCCCATCATGCACCCCCCAGTCACCTATCCACCCCCCCCCCCTCCGGATCTCACCCACCCTCCCCCGCGAGAGAAAAGGGAGGAGTGGGGAGGGTAGAAGGTGAGGAGGGTGAGGAGGGGGGGCTTGACTTGTCACTTCTCCAGTGCAACCGCTTAACCTCCAGTCAGCAGGAGTGATTTTGCTCCACCCTCATCCCACCTTCCTGCTTCCATGCTCCCCGAATCAGGAGACGGGAGGAGGCGAAGAGGGTTAACCGGCGAGATCTCTCAAAGCCCCCAACCGTTGGAAATGGGGACCCCACCAGCTATAGAACACACTTACTTCTCCGCGGCACCCGCCCCTTCAGAAAGACGGCGACAACGACGACGACGACGACGATGACAACGACTACGATTACGACTACGACTACGACTACGATTACGCTTACGACTACGATTGCGACTACAACCGCGACTACAATAACGACTACAACCCCGAATGCAATCACGATTCCAATCACGATTACAATAACGACCACAATCACGACTACTACCACAACCACTGATTCCGATTGCAAGGGTCATGAGAAGATGTTCACAAATCCTCTCGCGTGCAAGGTAGATAACCCACAATGGATTATACAGTGGGGGGAAGAACCCCCCAACATGACCCAAACCGCCCATCAATAGAGGCAAAAGCATCTCCGCCGCAACGACGATGATTACGATTAAGGCTACAACCACGATTACAAATACGACTACAATCAAAACTACAATCACGTCGACGATCCACGACTGTAATTAATATTCCAACCACAACCACTGACTCCTTTTGCAGTGGGCATCAGAAGATGCTCCTACATCGCCTCCCGTGTAGGGTGGGTGGCCCACCATGCGTCATTCCCTGGGAGAAAGACGAAGCCCCACACATTATCCGGCCCGCCCAACAACAGAGGGAACACCATCTCCGCCGCGACGACGATGACGACTACGATTACGACTACAACCACGACGCCGATTACGACTACAATCGCGAGTACAATCATGATCGCAGTCATGAGTAGAGCCACGACTACAATCACGACAACAACCACGACGACCACAACGCCCAAGACGACTACAACCACGACGACGACTACAATTACCACTGAAATCGACACACCCCTCACACTACAATCACGACATATCACGACGACGAGGACAACGACTACGATAACGACTACGAGGAGGAGCAGGAGGACGAGGAGGAGCAGGGGGAGGAGGAGAAGGAGAAGGAGCAGGAGGAGGAGGGAAGGAGGAGGAGGAAGAGGAAGAGGAGGAAGGAGGAGGAGGAAGAGCAGGAGGAGGAGGAGCGAGTTCATTCCCCGCCGAGTGGAACAAAGGGGGCGGCTCACAACTACAGACCTCCTGAGGTTACCGTCCTCGCGCAGCCCTCGCGCAGCGAATGGCTGCAAGGCAGAGAGGGGAACTGAAAGAAGGGAGGATGGCGCTTGCAGCGACGATGCGCGACGAGGGCCCCTAACATCCCCTCCACACCGCCGCCGATCTCTCTGTCGCGTTCTCTCCCCAGAACTCCCCGACGTGATTGTTTCACAACGTCGACCGCCAGAGGTCTAGACCCCTTCTCCGGAACCGGCTTATCGTCCTGAGATGTTTTGTTGACAGTCCCGGGGCCAGGGGAGGGCCTCCGGAGGCCGGCAATAGCGGAAACCTCCCGCCGTGACTTTTCACAACGCGGAAAGTCTGGGTCTCTCTCTCTCTCTCTCTCTTTTTCCGCGCCGGCTCCCATGGCTGCGCTCTAGTGCGTGAGAGGTGCCGAGAACCATGCCAAATGTCGGCCCCGGCCCCCGCCAGCAGCCACTGCGGCACGGCACCGGGAGGAGCGCACGGGGGGGAAGGGGGGAGACGGGCGTGGACCAGTCCCAGGATCGAGTGACAGGTCGAGGCCAAACTCAGTCATCCTGCTGCTGCTGCTCCTGCTGCTGCTGCTGCTGGTCGGGCTCCTGCTCCTCCTCCTCCTCCCCCTCCTCCGCCTCCTCCTCATCATCCTCGTCTTCCTCCTCCTCCTCCAACTCCTCCTCCCTCCTGCTCCTCTTCCCCCCCTCCTCCTCCTCCTCCTCCTCCTCCTCCTCCTCCTCCTTTTCTTCCTCCTCCCCTCCCTCCTCCCTCCTCCTTCTCTTCTTCTTCCTCCTCCTCCTCCTCCACCTCCTCCTCCTCCTCATCCTCCCTTGTTTTTTCCTGATATAAATAGAACTCATCTTATTAATAGTATGATAAGTATTACCAGCCACATCTGTATGATCAATCTGCTTATTCCCCATATCCTAAGATGGGGTTCTTGTTATTACTTGGACGCCTCCTACTCCTCCTCCTCCTCCCTCCTCCTCTTTTCTCCTCCCCTCCTGTCGGACATACTCAGACTTGCTCATACACAGACTTACTCATATTCAGACTTACTCATACTCAGACCTACTCATACTCAGACTTACTCACACTCAGACATACTCATACACAGACTTACTCTTACACAGACTTACTCATACACAGATTTGGAGGATGTCTCGAGCGAGGCGCTCATTTCAGCACCCCTAAGGGGAGCCGCCAGGGGTGTTTGCACGGGCTCGTTCGCGGCCATTTTGTGGGGATGTCTCAGGCGGTTTGCCTGTTTCTGGGCCCAACATCCTTCGCTTTCGGAGCAGATTTGGAGGATGTCTCGAGCGAGGCGCTCATTTCAGCACCCCTAAGGGGAGCCGCCAGGGGTGGTTGCACGGGCTCGTTCGCGGCCATTTTGTGGGGATGTCTCAGGCGGTTTGCCTGTTTCTGTGCCCAACATCCTTCGCTTTCGGAGCAGATTTGGAGGATGTCTCGAGCGAGGCGCTCATTTCAGCACCCCTAAGGGGAGCCGCCAGGGGTGGTTGCACGGGCTCGTTCGCGGCCATTTTGTGGGGATGTCTCAGGCGGTTTGCTTGTTTCTGGGCCCAACATCCTTCGCTTTCGGAGCAGATTTGGAGGATGTCTCGAGCGAGGCGCTCATTTCAGCACCCCTAAGGGGAGCCGCCAGGGGTGGTTGCACGGGCTCGTTCGCGGCCATTTTGTGGGGATGTCTCAGGCGGTTTGCTGTTTCTGGCCCAACATCCTTCGCTTTCGGAGCAGATTTGGAGGATGTCTCGAGCGAGGCGCTCATTTTCACCCCCCAGGTGGGCCAGATTTTGAGGATGTCTCGATCGGTTTGCTTGTTTTGGTGGCCAGGCTCGTGGGCGCAGATTCTTCTCAGGATGCCACAGGAGGCTCCAACAGGCTCCAGGAGGCCCCAGGAGACCACATGAGGTCCCAGGAGGCATCAGGAGGCCACAGAAAGACTCAAGATGCCACAGGATGTCCCAAGAGGCTCCAGGAGGCCCCAGGAAGCTCCAGAAGGCCTCAGGAAACCACAGGAGGCCCCAGGAGGCAACAATTGTGTGTGTGTGTGTGCTGTCCCGCCCAACCGCCCCTGTACTACTCCGGCCTCATTTTTCCATTGCGGTGCGGCCCTGCTCCGGGATTGGTCCGGTCACGTCTGTGACGAATGCTGGACCCCCCATTCACAGGGAGGGATGCGGTGGGAAAGTCAAGTTCGCAACTTCGCTTGAACTTGAAATTGCAATTGCAATGACACGTAATGGAAGAAGCCAAAGTGAGAAATGAAGCAAAACGTGCTGCTACCAGTTCCACTGATGCTACAACACCGAAGCATCCGAGAGAACCTTCGAGGGGCCACAAGATCATTCCCAAAAGTGTTGCACAAGGTCGGCCCATGAGGGCCCAAGATGCATTCAGAGCTGCTTGAATTAGGCCTGTGCGGCCAACAGGATGGGAGGAAACTTAGGGAGCTACCTGGGCACATCTGGTCAGGAATATCTGGGAGAATCCACGGCGCGGGATAAGGACGGACTGTCCCCCCTAATGCCATGAGCTGGTGGGATAAGGCCGACATCGGCCCCCCATTGGCTTGGCCAGGGGATGAGACCACTTGGCCCCCCCGCCGCCAACGCACTGACAGTTGTTACCTGCAACACTTCGTGTTTAATCCAACAATTGTGTGTGTGCTGTCCCGCCCAACCGCCCCTGTACTACTCCGGCCTCATTTTTCCATTGCGGTGCGGCCCTGCTCCGGGATTGGTCCGGTCACGTCTGTGACGAATGCTGGGCCCCCCTATTGAGCAATCCTGGGCAGGCGAAAGCGCTCATACTACTGGGCGGTCGCTTTGGCCCACACCCGCTCTGCTGAAGGCATTTACAGCACATCTTCTTGTAGGACGACGGCAAGGCATGCTCCATTGTCGCCGCTGCCAGATCTGATGGCTTCCAGCCACACGCAATGATCCAACCACATGGCGTGGGCACGGTGTACCCAGCCGCGATCCTGTGCACGATGCCAGACTGCGGATTTACCGCAAGGTGATACTCCGGACACGTCGATGGCGCGTTCGGACGCTGCGTGGGGTTGTCTGCGCAACGGGCCAAGCTCTCCTTCAGGTTGTCGTACATATCGTTGGCCTGGTGCACGGCACTCTCTGGCAGAACGCTCTGACTGGCCGCCAAGCGGACGACATCGTCCACGGCGGAGCCCGCGACAGCCTCCCCTGCCGGACCCAAGGCCCGCGGGCGGGGAGATCGGCTTCGACGCACTGACTCCTCCAATTCCTCCAGTGACCGACCACGCGCAGCTTGCCGTGCCCACGTGCTCGACGATGCCAGCGGGGCGTCCCCGATGTACCCCAGGACGGCGTCGGACCCCCATCTTCCGAGGAGCTGTATCGCCCACGTGTCAAGCCCCGCGCCGGCCAGGAATCGCGCGCCTGTGACGCGCAGTGAATGGCCAGTCCACCGATGCACACCGTCTGTCCCAGCCTCACGCAGATGGAGGAGGTCCGCGGCCGCGGCGATGTGCGCGACCATGGCGTCCTTGGTGCAAACGCGGCCCTCGCTCGTGGGAAACAACGGAAGTTCGTCGTCTGGAGACCCATCCGGCGAGAACCGCAGCGGGAACACCCGCCTCAACAGGACCACTTGTGCCTGCAAGGTGCGGGCAGGACACAGATCCGCGCCCAGAGGCTCGTCGCAACAGCACCCGTGGGACCGGGTTGCGCCGAGTGCAGACGGGTCGTTCTTGGATGCCGGCAGACACCATGATGTGACCAATTCTGCCCCGTCACCCACAAAGCGCACCAAGCAAGCGCGGGCCGTGCTGAGCTCCACCTCCCGGGTAAGCCACCACACGCCCCCTACAAGGCAGTTCCGTGGGCCGACCGGCCCGTTTCTGACCCAGGGATCATCGCTGCCCGGTAAATTCCGGAAGTCCGCGAAAGTGAACGGCAACGCTTGGACAGGCGGCCCAAGGCCTCGATTACACGACCGCGTGGCGTCCTTGAGCACCTGCACCATAGTGCCCGCAAGGTGGCAACCTCGACGCTCAGCTTCCACCCGGTACGCCGATAAGTACATGGATGCCGATCGATACTTGCCTGCCTTCAGCGTCGCCCCAAGAGCACGCAACTTGTCCGCTGTGAGGGGCCACGGCTCCATACCCCATTGGCGGAGCATTGCCTCGACGGAGCGGAGGCGGGCCGCTACCGTCGGGCCGGTGGAAGCGGCGTAGAGGTCTTTATCCAGAGATTGCAGGGCCCGCTCGCGGGCAGCGTCAGAATCTAGATGGGGCATCTTCCCCCTGCTGTATGGTGCACGTGCAGGTGCATCACGGCGGAGGGCTGGCCACCCCACACCGGCCGTCGCGACCGCTTCGGCCGGCACTGATGGTTGTGACTCAGGTGCATCGCCTGCGCCTGCACGCCCTTCGTTTGCGACCAACTCGAGGGACGCCTGTGGTCCCTGAGGGTTGGGTGATGCCGCTCTCCTTGACCCCCCCGAAGTCGAAGATACCGTCGCCGACCCAGATGCCCTGCCGCTCCCTGGCCCGCCATTGCCCCTGTGTCTCTTTAGACCGGCCAGGGCCCTCAAATCTTCGCGTGGGCGTACCTTCCGAAGCATTGCGAGGTACTGCCCACTTCTACCCCCTCCTGCTGAGCCGAATCGCCACGCATATATTGCGTGCGCCCTCTGAAGCATCGTGCACGCATGCGGACGAGAAACTCGGCCTCTAAGCAAATTGCCGGCACTCCAGCGCCAAGCAGAAGAGGATAGTGGGACGAAGATGGGACGGGAATTGGGACATATGAGGATGATGACCATACACATGACGAGCGAGAACTTGTGTAAGACCTTTAGCGGGATCCCCTTCCACAGGGGATTCAGATAGACACGATAGTTTGCACCACCTAGTCTTCGCCAGTGTTTAGGAGAACACTGTTGGGGATCCCGCCCACGAGGGGGAAAAACACAACATAGCTTGCACTGGATATTTTCGACAATGTCCAAGAGAACCGCTGCCGAAGGCAGCCCTTCGGAAGCTGGTTTTGCGCCCGCCGGCGGCTGTCGTCCCCGCTGGCGGCAGCGCCACCCCCCCCTCCCACGAAAGGGAAGGGGGGGGGAGGAAGGAGGGAGGAGGAGGACGAAGGGCGCGCAGACGAAGTGAAGCTTGTACCACATTCTTTTCGCCAGCACTTAGGCGGACTGCACCCCTGGCAACCCCTCGGACGATGGTTCGGCGACAGCTGGCGGTTGTCGCCCCCGCCGGAAGTGGCGCCCCCCCCCTCCCAGGGAAGGGGGGGGGGAAACGAGGGAAGAGGGAGAGGAGGGCGGAGGACGAGAGGACGAGGGCGGGGAGGAGGGAAGAAAAGGAAACGGAAGAAGGAGGCGGAGGCCCCCACCCCCTCTCTCCGAGCAAGGCCCGCGCCCAGGGCCCCGTTGGCCACGTCGGCGGTCGCTGGCCTCCGCCCTCGGCCCTCCGCCCTCGAAAGGGGGAGGGCGAGGAAGGAGAAGGAGGGAAGAGAAGGGAAGGAGTCGCTCGTCTTGTCGGCGACTGGAGGCCTGGCCCTCCACCCGGAAGAGGGAAGGAAGGGCAGCAGCAGGCACAGCAAAGCACGAGGCAAGTTTTTCTCCCGGGCGTGCACACGCACCAACAAACAAAGAAAACTTATGGTATGTATATAATACAATGCGGCTGTACATTCCCGCGCCCCGCCCTTAACAGCTTCCGCCCCGGGCGTGGAAGTTGTCAGGGGATTCTGACACCCACGCCCGCCACATAGTATCTAACGATGGAACCGCGCAATTTTGGCAACTAACCAAGGCGGCGGGGAAAGCCACGGGCGGATGAGCACATAATCGGGACAGCGCGTCTGCCAGCCGATTGAAGTCGGACGGCAGGTGGGCGACCTCGAACTGCCACTTGAACGCGACCTTGCGCCAGGACAGCTCGCGCGCAATGGCGTTCATCAGACCTTTGCCCTTCAGCGCCAAGGCGTCTGTCAGGGCGCCGATGTTGCCGAGCACGAGCAGCACGGCATCTGTGCTGCGTGCGCCCCACACCATCAGCGATAAGAGGAGTGTGAGGAACTCCCATGCTGACTGCCACTTGGGGTCGCCCAGCTGGGCGCCGAAACGCCGGCATATGCTTGCCGACCATGCGGTGCAGAAATATTCCCGGGGCTGGCCGGCCTCGAACAGCACCGCCCCGCCTCCCCAAGGAGACGCATCAAAGTGCACGCTGCACGGCGACCGGGGTAGCCGCGTCGACGCCGCCTGGCTGTGTACCAGCCGCTCCAATGGGAACACCTCGGTCGACAAGAGCGCCCAGAACCAGCCCGCAGCGGCGAAGAACCTCCGAACTGGCACCTTGCCCGGGGGCGCCTCCCGCTTGGACTGCGCAGACGCCCTCGTCGAGTCTGTGAGCGCCGCCCACAAGGAGGCTGCGAACGGCGACGCCTCCGGGGCGACCTGCGCCACGCGCGCGGCCTTGCCGACCAGGGACCGGGCCTGGTGTGCGCTGGCCACGCCTTTGCGCCGGCAGAACGGCCGAAGCAGATCCAACAGCTCGTGGACGTACGCCTCGGGCAGCGACATGATGGCAATGTTTCCCCGCAGGTGGAAACTGATGCCAATCCACGTATACTGCGTCAGAGCGGGCGAGAATTTCCCCTTCTTCCATGCCAGCGGTATGCCCAGGGCTATCCACCAGCACAGTAGGATATCGATCTCCCGGCGTGCAGAAGCCACGTCGCCTGCAACCGCCAAGATGGGGTCATCCACGTACTGCTGCAGCCGCGTAGTGGCATGGTGGAGCACTGCCTGCCCAGACCGGCAAGCGAAGCTTGCGACTCGACCGAACACCAGCGGGTTCGCCCTCCCGCCGAAGCCGAGCACGCGCCAGACCACGAAAGTGTGCCCTGAGGCCAGCGGGTGCGTCAATTCTGCACAATTGAATCGCCGCTCGGACTCCACCAAGGGCACGCTCATGAAAGCGTCGGCGAAGTCGATGATGAACGTGTGCACCCCGCGGAGGCCCTCCGGCGCGGCTGCCATCTGAGCCAAGTCGACAGCGTGGTCCAGTCCGCGCGGGAGGACGACCCTCTCCGAGGTGGAAGAGACATCGTTGACCCTGTTTGACCTCAGGTCCTGTATAATGCGATGTTTGAGCGTGCCGTCAGACCTCCGCTTGGTGACATTGCCCAAGGGAGCGGGGAACGTCTCGCCCAGCGCAGACTCGGCAGCCCAGCGGGTGCGGAACGTCTCCCCGAAGCCCTTCTGGATGCATTCCTCCAGGATGGCCCTGGTCGGGCGCTGTGACTCCCCGAAGCACTCGTCGAAAGACGGGTGGTTGCCACGGTGTGAGGACAGCGCGGCGAGCTCCTCGATCGGTTAAGCGAAGCCACGCGTGCACTAAACGGAGAGGGAGGAAGAGGAGGAGGAAGGAAGACGAGGACGGGGGAAGGACAAAGATGATACCTTTCAATGGCAAAACGGCCACGCGCACCACCCTGAAGGCGCGGGTCCGGCGGGACGCCGCGCCGCCCGCGCGCGCGCCCAGTGGCGCGCGCGCGCGTTCTGGCACGCCCTGCTGCCGCACGGATCTGGTGCCGAGCGGAGCAGGGTGCACAGGGAGCGAAGCGGGGTGGGTGGGCACCCGAGTCCTGGCTCGAACTCGAGCCAACGACTGCGGACCCAAAATGGCTATGGCAAAGCCCCCGCTTCCCTACGCTTAACCTGCAGTCTACCAACATCACAGACTATACAAGTTAAGCGAAGCCACGCGTGCACTAAACGGAGAGGGAGGAAGAGGAGGAGGAAGGAAGACGAGGACGGGGGAAGGACAAAGATGATACCTTTCAATGGCAAAACGGCCACGCGCACCACCCTGAAGGCGCGGGTCCGGCGGGGCGCCGCGCCGCCCGCGCGCGCGCCCAATGGCGCGCGCGCGCGTTCTGGCACGCCCTGCTGCCGCACGGCCAAAACCAAAAGAACGCAGCCGCGCGCGGGCGAAGGACGCCCGGGCGCGCGACCACTGGCCTGCAAGCCTGAGGCCTTCCTGGAGCGGGCGCCAGGCCGCCCCGGCTGGGCAGCGCCCCGCCGGCGGCGTGCAACGCGCGCCCGAGCTGGCCCCTACGGCCTCGCCCAGGCGCGGGGGGCTAAACGCTCCCCAGGGCCGCGCGCCGCCGGCCCGCCGGCGCGGGATCGCGCCCGCGAAAGGCGCTAGCCGCGCGCGTCGCGCCGGACGCGACATAGAACACGCAGAGAGCGAGCGCGCGCGTGCGAAAGCACACGCGCGAGCTGGAGGTGCAAGCTGGCTGCAGCCCAGAGGACGCCACGTGGCCCGAGCAGCCCGTCGCTCCCCCCGGTCCTCCTCCTTCTAATCCCCGTCGTCGGGCGGTTCCCCTGTGGCGGTCAGCGCGCGGCCCTCGATGCCCCATGCTGCCGGCGAACATGTCAACGTAGGTCGATCCGCTCGTCCCCGTCGTCGCGCCCTTCGGCATCCTCGTCGAGTAGGCCCTCGGCTGCCAGCTGCACCTCGACCAGGCCCTCCCGACACCAGGCGGCGTCGCCAGGCAGCTGGCGCAAACGGCCTCGCCGTCCGCCCCGCGGCCCTCAGCGGGCCCCCGGGTCGACTGTCGCGGGATCCGTAAGAGGCAAGCAACGCACCCGGTATGAGCGAGCAAGTGATGCGAGCAATGTAGCCACTGCTCCCTCGCTCGAGCTCGCCCAGCGGCCGCAAGAACTGCGCCACTGCGTCGTTGAACACTGCAATGCCCGTGAGCACCGGCATGTCGTCGAGCACCCGAGCGCCCTTGCAGCTGCGCACGCCCTTGAACACAAACACGTCGCCGATCAGCGCGCCGTCGAGCGCAGGCACGCTCGTGACCTCGTGCGTGCCCCGGGAACTGAGCGCGCGTGTGAACACGACCACATCCCCGTGGCCCTCGACGAAGAGCAGGTTTGCCGCCGTGACTGCGCCCCTGAGGCTGGTCCCCTCGCGGCCGGGCCCAGCTGGGCCCTGTCTCACGGACGAGCATACCTTCGCCGCTGGAACCTCGCCCCAAGGGCTGGTCCCCTCGCGGCCTGGCCCAATATCGGCGTGGCCATCCACCAACAGGCCGCCCGCCGCTGGAACCCCGCCCCATGGGCGTGTCCCTCCGCGGCCGGGCCCGGCAGGGCCATGTCCCGCGGTAGACTGCGGGTTGTCGCAGGCGGCTGCGGATAAGGTAATACAAACGAAGCACGCCCACTGCAAATACGGCCCCTCCGGGAGTACCATCACGCAGTTGGGGAATGCCAAGAACGCCCGGGAACACCGTCGCGCCGTTGGCCACAGGCACGCCCGTGCGCACCTGCATGCCGTCGAGCCTCGGGAAGCTCGTGACCTCGAGCGCGCCCTGGGGCAGGAGCGCGGCCGCGAGCCGGACCACCGTGCGCATCTGCATGCCGTCGAGCCTCGACAAGCTCGTGACCTCGAGCGCGCCCTGGGGCAGGAGCGCGGCCGCGAACCGGACCACGTCCTTGAGCACCGCGCTGTGGAGCAGAGCTTCGCCCCCAAGCGCGCGCGCGTTGTTGAGCACCGGCGCACCTGTGAGGACCCACCTGCCATAGACCAAGGGTGGAACGGCCGCTGGGACTTCGCTCCTTGGGCTGATCCCCTCGCAGCCGGGCCAAGCGGACCCCTGTCCCGCGGCCGACGCTTGCCAGTCGGGTCTGGCCGGGAGGGCGAGCACGACCACGCCATCGAACGCGACCATCAGCAAGATGGGCCCACGCGAGCCAGTGAACGCAAGCGCAAGTAGCCGTACCTCGCGGGGCGGGGTCGCCATGGCGGGCCCCCCGCCCGGTGGCTGCCCGGGGCGGGCCAGCGCGCCGCGGCGTTCCAGGGCGCCCACGAGCATCGATGTGACGTCGAGCACCTGGGCATCCCCGGCCTGGAGCACGCCCTTGAGTACGACCACGTTCTCCGACTCTGACTTTGCCGGCGGGCAGTCCAGGCCGACCGCTGGAAACGTAACCCCATCCCCATGCGACTCCAGATAAGATGGTGGGTCTGCCGCGGGGACTTCGCCCATGCGGGCTGCCCCCCTCGCGGTAGGAGCGGTGGCTGCGACCTGCCGGACCTGGGCGGCATCGGTCTTCCGCGGCATGCCGTGCCCGATCGCGGGGATGCAATGCTCCGCGCCGAAAGCAGTGCGGGCGCTGGCCCCAGCGTAGACGGCCACGTCGATGCCGGCGCCGGTGTTCGTCTCTGCGCTGGTTTTGGCGTCGGCGCAAGCGCCCGGGTCAGCGTCGGCGCCGGCGCTGGCGTCGTCGCTGCTGTCGCTGTCGGCGTAGGCGGTGACATTGGCACCGACGTCGGCGCTGGCGTCGGCGGTGGCGTAGGTGGAGTCGCCCTCGCGGCAGTCCTCGCAGCTCGGCAGGCGCGGAGAGACCCGCAACGGTGGCGGCGTGGGCTGCTGCGGCGCCCTGGCTGGGCAAGCCCCGTCGGTGGCGTGCGGCACGCGCCCGAGCTGGCCCCCACGGCCTCGCTCAGGCAGGGGGCAGACGCACCCCGACCGCACGGCGCCGGCCCGCCGGCGCGGAGCCGCACCCGCGAAGGGCCCGCGACGCGCGCGTCGCGCTAAGCGCGTCCGAAAGTCGGGCGGGCAGCGCGCGCGCGCGAGAATGCCCGCGTGAGCGGCACGGAGCCTGCGGGGCCAAACGCGCGCGCGCGGAAGCGTGGTGCCGGTGAGCCAGTCCAGATCGCCCGTGCTGGCTACGGCGCCAAAGTCGGAGCTGGCGGCGGCGCTAGCGTCGGTGCTGGCCGCGGCGTTCGCGGTCGCGAAGGCGGCAGCGCCTGCCTCGGCGTCGGCGCGGGCGTCGGCGCTGGCGCTGATGTTGGCGCGGGCCGTGATGCTGAAGCCGGCCTTGGCGCTGGCGCCGATGCTGGTGCCGAGTCCCACGTCGGAGATCCTGGCGCCAGGCCTGGACCAGTCCACGGCCCAGACCTCGCCGGCCTCTGTGCGGGCGATGGGGAAAGCGTCGGTGCTGGCACCTGCACCGGCAGCCGAGAAGGCGACGGCGCCCGCGCGGGCCTCGCAGCCGATGGCGTTGATGCCGGCGTCGGCGGTGACGTTGGTAGCGTCGGCGCGGGCGCCTGCGGTCGCGGCGGCGGAAGCGGCAACGTCATCATAGGCCTCGCCGTCGGCGTCTGCGCGGGCGTCGTCGCTGGCGTTGATGTCGGCGTAGGCGGGGGCATTGGGGGTGTCGGCGCTGGCGTCGCAGGACGCGGCCCCGGTGCCAGCCCGCGCATCGGCAACGATGTCGGCGTCGGCGCTGGCGTCGGCGCTGATGCTGGCGCAGGCGTTGGCGACGGCGTTGACGACGGTGGCGGCGTCGGTGCTGGGAACGGTGCCCTCTTCAGGGCCCGCGGCGCCGAGCCTGACCCAGACCATGTCCCAGACCCCATCGGCCTCTACGTCCGTCTCGGCCCCGTCCGACCCCGCGCCCCTTCTCGAGCCCTCGATGTTGCTCACGAACTCCAGCCCCTTGATGATGGCGCCTGCGCTGGTCTCGGCGCCTGCGCGGGCGCCCGCGTCAGCGTTGGCGCCGGCGCAGGCCTCGTCGCTGCCGTCGCTATCGGCGTAGGCGGTGACGTTGGCGTCGACGTCGGCGCTGGCGTCGGCGGCGGCGGCGATGGAGATGCCCTCGCGGCAGGCCTCGCAGTCCGGCAGGCGCGGAGCGGCCCGCAGCGGTGGCGGCGAGGGCTGCTGCGGCGCCCTGGCTGGGCAAGCCCCGCCGGCAGCGCGCGGCATGCGCCCGAGCTGGCCCCCGCGGCCTCGCTCCGGCAGAGGGCAGACGCACCCCACCCGCGGTGCGCCGGCTCGCCGGCGCGAAGCCGCGCCCGCGCGGGGCCCGAGACGCGCGCGTCGCGCTAAGGGCGTCAGCAAGCCGAACGGGCAGCGCGCACGCGCGAGAATGCCCGCGTGTGCGGCACGGAGCCTGCGGGGCCAAGCGCGCGCGTGCGGAAGCGAGGCGTCGGCGACGCAGTCGCCGACGTTGGGGCCAGCGTCGGCGCCGGCGGCCACGCGGGCGCCGGTGCCCGTGCAGACGCCCCTGTCGGCGTCGGCGTCGGCCCCGACCCCCGCGATGGTATCGGTGCTGACGCCGGCTCTCGCGGCGGCGTCGGCGCCGTCGCTGGCGTCTGCGCTGGCGTTGGTTTCGGTGTAGGCGATGACGCCGCCGTCGACGTCTGCGTTGACGCCGATGCTGGTAGCGGGGCCCGCGTCGGCGCCGAGCCGGGGCCAGTCTAAGTCCCAGACCTCGTCGTCCGTGCTGGCTGAGGCGCCGGTGTCGGAGATGGCGGTGGTGCAAGCGTCGGTGCCGGCCGCGGCGTGGGCGGTCGCGGAGGCGGCAGCGCCTGCATCGGCATCGAAGGCGTCGTCGTCGGCGCGGGCGTCGGTGCTGGCGCTGATGTTGGCGCGGGCCATGCTGGAGCCGACCTTGACGCTGGCGTCGGTGCTGGTGCTGGGCCCCACGTCGGAGCACCTGGCCCCAAGCCTGGACCAATCCACGGCCCAGACCTCGCCAGCCTCTGCGCGGGCGATGGGGAAAGCGTCGGTGCTGGCACCTGCGCTGGCAGCCGAGAAGGCGACGGCGCCCGCGCGGGCCTCGCAGCCGAGGGCCCCGCGGCGCGGTGGTGGCGAGCCTCATCCCGCAGCTGAATCGCCTGGGGGCCCTCCTGCGTGGACGATTGCGTCCATGCAGCCGCCGCCGGGGACGCCGCCTCCATGGAGGCGGCCCCGGAGGCTTCTCCAGGCTCCCCCGGACGCCTCCCACGGTCCGCGGCGGGCCTCCCAGCCCCCCGCCCGGCGACTTCGGCGACCCCTGCAGCGGCGGCGGAAGCGAGGCCGACGGCATCAGCGGGCGTGACGAAAACGGCGTCGGCGTCGGCGTGGGCGTGGGCGCGGGCGATAGGGCCAGCGCGGGCGACGGCGGAGGCGTAGGTGTCGGTGCGGTTGTCTGCGCCGGCGTCGCCCAAGTGCATGGCCCCGAGCTCCACGTCCGCGCCTGTCCACGGCCCCGTCCCCGCCCTAGGCGCTGGCCCGGCGCCCGCGCTGGCGTCGGAGGTGCCGGCGTCGGAGCCGGCGTCGGAGCCGGCGTCGGTGCTGGCGTCGGAGCCGGCGTCGGTGTTGGCGTCGGAGCTGGCGTCGGTGCTGGCGTCGGTGCCGGCGTCGGAGCCGGCGTCGGTGCTGGCGTCGAAGCGGCTGTCGGTGCCATCGGCGCCGCTGTCGGTGATGCCGTCGACGCCCCTGCAGGTGCGGCTGCAAGCGCCGCAGTCGGGGCGGCAGCCGACGCCACTGGTGGCGCAGCCGCCGACGCGGCTGTCGGGGCCGCAGCCGCCGGAACCGCAGTAGGTGCTGCCGTCGACGCCGCCAGGGCTACTGGCGCAGCCGTCGGCCAGGCTGTCGGCGCCGCAGCTGTCGGAGCGGCAGTCGGTGCCGCCGCCGGGCCGGCCGTCGGCGCGGCCGTCGGGGCCGCCGTTGTCGGCGCGGCGGCGGTTGCTGCCGCCAACGCCGCCGACAACTCGGCCGTCGGAGCGACTATTGGGGCCGTCGGCGCCGCTGTCGGTGATGCCGTCGGCGCCGCTGCCTGCGGTGCTGGCGGCGCCGCGATCGGGGCGCCAGTCGGTGCCGCCCTCGACGCCTCTGACGGCGCAGCGGCCGGTGCGGCTGCGGGCCCCGCAGCCGTCGGAGCGGCGGTCGGTGCCGCCTGAGTGGCTGTCGGGGCCGCAGCTGTCGGAGCGGCAGTCGGTGCCGCCGTCGACGCCGCCGAGGCTGTTGGGGCAGCTGTCGGTGAGGCTGTCGGTGCCGCAGCCGTCGGAGCGGCAGTCGGTGCCGCCGTCGGCGCAGCCGTGGGCGTGGCTGCCGGGGCCGCAGCTGTCGGGGCGCCAATCGGTGCCGCCCTCGCCGCCGCTGGCGGCGCAACGGCCGGTGCGGCTGTTGGCCCCGGCGGCGCCGCCGTCGGTGATGCCATCGGCGCGGCCGTCCCTGCTTTCGGTGATGCCATCGGCGCAACCGTCGGTGCCACGGTTGGCGCGGCTGGCGCCGTCGGCGCCGACGGCGCCGCGGTAGGCGCCGCTGTAGGTGCCATTGCAGCCGCTGCCCGCCCGCCGTCGCCTCCCGATGTCGGGTCTTGGCGCGCATCGGGCCGCTTTTGAGCCACCCCCGCACGCCTCCTCCTTCGGGTCCGCCGCCGATGGGCCCGAAAAGGACGTGGTGGGTGCCCCTCGGCCGATCCAATCACAACGCAATTTATGGAGCCTGCTGTGGAAACCGGTCAGGCCCTCGAAGTTGGACTGCTGGAGCACGCTCCCGAATACCGGCGTGCCGCCAAGCTCAGGCGCGCTCCGGGATGCGAGCGCGCTGGTGGGCGACAGCGTGCCTGTCGGCACCCACGTGCTGTCGAGCACCCGCGTGCCCGTGATAGAGGGCACGGCCCCGCACCTCGCCAGGGTGCGCGCGCGATCCTCCATGTGGTCCGGAGGTATGCGACCAGTAAGGTCCTCAGCCACCGCCAGCTCCGCCGCTGGGACGTCGCCCCTAAGGCTCGTGCCCCCGCGGCTAAGCCTCGCCTGCATGACCAACGCCGGCTGGGCGGCACGGGCAGCCAGGCATCTGAACCGAGAAACGTCTGCCTCATTGTGCGTGCCCTGGTGCGCGACCACCCCCGCGGTCGCGATGTCGGCGCCGGCGGGGCCGGAGGCGCCGTCGCTGGCGCTGGGACCGGCGGCGGCGCCGGCGTAGGCGCGGGCGCCAGTGCCAGCGCGGGTGCTGTTGGCGGTGTGGGCGCTGGTCCCAATGTAGACGGTCATGCCAATGTCGGCGTCGGCGCTGGTCGCTGCGCGGGTCCCGGCGTCGGCGCATGCGCCCGCGTCAGCGACGGCGCCGGCGCCGGCGTCGTCGCTGGCGTCGTTGTCGGCATAGGCGGTGACGTTGGCGTCGACGTCGGCGCCGGCGTCGGCGGTGGCGGAGGCGGAGTCGCCCTCGCGGCAGTCCTCGCAGCTCGGCAGGCGTGGAGCGGCCCACAACGGCGGCGGCGAGGGCAACTGTGACGCCCCGGCTGGGCAAGCCCCGCCGGCAGCGTGCGGCATGCGCCCGAGCTGGCTCCCACGGCCTCGCTCCGTCTGCGATGGCGCGGTGCTGACGCTGGCTCTCGCGGCGGCGTCGGCGCCGGCGCCGGCGTTGGCGGTGGCGTTGGGTTCGGCGTAGGCGGTGGCGCTGGCAGCGCCTGCATCGGCATCGAAGGCGTCGGCGTCGGCGCTGGCGTCAGTGCTGGCGCTGATGTTGGCGTGGGCCGTGATGCTGGTGCCGACCTCAACGCGGGCGTCCGTGCTGGTGCCGGGTCCCCCGTCGGAGAACCCGGCGCCAGGCCTGGGCCAATCCCCTCGGCCAATCCAATCACAACACCACAGTCCATGGAGCCTGCCGTTGAGCCCAGCCACACCCTTGAAGTTGGACTGGGGCACGCTCTCGGATACCAGAGTGCTGCAAGGCCCAAGCGCGCTTTGGGATGCGGGCGCACTGATGGGCGTCAGCGTGCCTGTCGGATCCCACGTACTGTCGAGCGCCCGCGTGCCCTTGACAGGGGGCCCGGCCCCGCGCCTCACCAGGGCGTGCGCGCAATCCTCCACGTGATCCGAAGGTATGCGAACGGTAAGGTTTCCAGCCACCGCCAACCCCGCCGCTGGGACGTCGCCCCTAAGGCTCGTACCCACGCGGCTAAGCCCCGCCGGCATGACCAACGCCGGCTGGGCGGTACGGGCAGCCACGAAGCTGAACCGCGTAGCGCCCGCCTCATGGTGCGTGCCTCGGTGTGCGACTACGCCCGCGGTCGCGTCGTCGGCACCGAAGGCGCCGTCGCTGGCGCCGGGACCGGCGGCGGCGCCGGCGTAGGCGCGGGCCCCAGTGCCAGCGCGGGCGTCGTCGGCGGTGCGGGCAGCGGTTCCAATGTAGACGGTCATGCCGATGTCGGCGTCGGTGCTGGTTTCTGCGCTGGTCTCGGCGTCGGCGTAGGCGCCGTTGGCGTCGACGTCGGCGGTGGCGGAGGCGGAGTCGCCCTCGCGGCAGTCCTCGCAGCTTGGCGGGCGCGGAGCGGCCTGCAGCGGCGGCGGCTCGGCGTCGGACCAGGCGGCGGCTCCGGCATAGGCGTCGGCGTTGGCGCCGTCGCCGGCGTTGATGTCGGCGAAGGCGGGGACGTTGGCGTCGGCGCTCGCGTCGTAGGATGCGGCCTTGGTGCCAGCCTGAGCCTCGGCATCGGTGTCGGCGTCGGCGCCGGCTTCGCCGCTGGCGCTGATGTTGGCGCAGGCGGTGACGACGGGGTCGACGACGGCGGCGGCGTCGGTGCCGGGAACGGGGCCCCTGTCGGGGCCCGCGGCACCGAGCCTGGTCCAGTCCCAGTCCCGAACCTCGTCGGCCTCCGCGTCCGTCTTGACCCCGTCCGTCCCCGCAGCCCTCCTCGAGCCCTCGACGTCGGCGTTGGCGTCGGCGGTGGGGGAGGCGGAGTCGCGCTTGAGGTGGTCCTCGTGGCTCGGCAAGCGCGGAGCGGCCTGCCGCGGCGGCGGGGAGGGCAGCCGCGACGCTCCAGCTGGGCAAGCCCCGCCAGCAACGTACGGCACGCGCCTGAACTGGCCTCCACGGCCTCGCTCAGGCGGGGAGCAAACGCGCCCCAACCGCGCGGCGCCGGCTCGCCGGCGCGTGGCCGCGCTCGCGAAGGGCGCGAGACGCGTGCGGCGCGCTGAGCGCGACCGAAAGCAGAACTGGCAGCGCGCGCGCGCGAGAGCGCCCGCGCGAGCTGCACGGAGCCTGCGGAGCCAAGCCCGTGCGTGCGGAGGCGCGGAGCAGGTGGCGCAGTCGCCGACGTTAGGGCCAGCGTCGGCGCCGGCGGCAGTGTGGGCGCCGGTGCCCGTGCAGACGTCCCTGTCGGCGTCGGCGTTGGTCCCAGCGCCTGCGCTGGTATCGGTGCCGACGCCGGCTCTCGCAGCGGCGTCGGCGCTTGCGCCGGCGTCGGCGCTGGCGTTGGTTTCGGCGTAGGCGGTAACGCCGGCAGCGCCTGCATCGGTAGCGGAGGCGTCGGCGCTAGCGTCGGTGCTGGCGCTGATGTTGGCGTAGGCCGTGATGCTGGTGCCGACCTCAGCGCAGGCGTTGGTGCTAGTGCTAGGTCCCACGTCAGGGAACCCGGCGCCATGCTTGGACCAACCCATAGCCCAGACCTCGCCGGCCACTGAGCTGGCGTGGGCGATAGCGTCGATGTCGGCGCCTGCGCCGGCAGCCGAGGAGGCGGCGGTGCCCGCGCGGCCCTCGGAGCCGATGGCGTTGATGCCGGCATCGGCGGTGATGTTGGGAGCGTTGGCGCTGGCGCCCGTGCTGGCGGCTGCGGAGGCGGCAACGTCCTCATCGGTGTCGGAGCCGGAGGTGCAGTCGTCGGCATCCAGCCTGGCGGCGGCCCCGGCGTAGGCGTCGGCCCTGGCGCCGTCGCTGTCGTTGATGCCGGCGCAGGCGGGGACGTCGGGGGCGGCGGCGCCGGTGTCGTAGGTGGGCCCGGTGCCAGCCTGAGCGTCGGCATCGATGTCGGCGTCGGCGCTGGCGTCGGCGTTGGCGCTGATGTTGGCGCCGGCGGTGACGACGGTGCCGACGACGGCGGCGGCGTCGGTGCGGGGGACGGGGCCCTCGTCGGGGCCCGCGGCGCCGAGCCTGGTCCAGTCCATGTCCCAAACCTCGTCGGCCTCCACGTCCGTCTCGGCCTCGGCCGTCTCCGCGGCCCTCCACGTGCCCGCGGTGGTGCTCACGATCCCCTGCCCCCCGATGATGGTGCAGGCGGCGACATCGGTGACGAAATCGGCGGCGTCGTTGGTGCCGGAAACGGGGCCCCTGTCGGTGCCCGCGGTGCCGTGCGTGGTCCAATCCATGTCCCAAACCTCGTCGGCCTCCACGTCCGTCTCGGCCTCGGATCCGATCTCCATGAGGCCCCGCGCCTGCTCCGCGGCGGGGTGGCGGCGAGCCCCCACTAACAGTTGCTGCCCCACCTCCAGGGCCTCGTGGGCCTCGCGGGGGAACTCATCGCGTTCCAACCGCGCGACCTCCCAGGTCTCGAGCACGTCCGTCAACCGGTACTGCTTGGCCTCCGCTGGCGCCCCTCCCGCCGCCACGGCGGCTGCCCGCTCCGAGCGGCGCCTCGCGAGCGCGTCTCTGGCGCCCTCAAGGGCCAGCGCGCGCCGGCGCAGCCGTGCTTCCAGCTCGGGGCCGGCCCCGCGCCAGAGATCCGGAGCCGGGTCTGTGCCTGCGCGTGCATTGGCATCGATGCTGGTGAACGCGATGGCGTTGGTGCTGGCGCGCTGGCCGCGATCGATGTTGGCCTCGGCGCTGGTGTACCCGCGGGCGGCGGCGCCGGCATCAACGCAGGCGCCGGCGCTGGCGGTTGCGCCGGCACGGGTGCCAGCGCAGTCGCCGTCGTTGGGGTGGGCCTCATCACTGGCATAGGCACTGTGGGCAGCGCTGCCATAGGCGCTGGCGCCGGGGAGGACGCATGAGGCGCTGCCGTCAGCCCGCTCGCCCTCGCCCGCGCGTCCCCGCCCAGGCATGGCCAGGCCGCCGTCCTCGTTCAGCCCGGCTGGACCTCCCATCGCTGCCTCGCGGATGACGACCCTGTGAACGATGGTGGGGCCAGACTCGTCGCACTCGCCCCTCGTAGCCCATTCCTGCTGAGAAGCGCTCTGCGTGAGGGGGATGGTCCCGCCGATCCACATGGGGTACTCACGCTCGGGCGGCGCCGCGATCTTGATCCTCATCGTCGAGGGCGCCAGGGCGGATAGCTCCTTGTTCATGCGCTCCCCGATCCCGGCGAACAGGGTGATGCCGCCAGACGGAAGCGTGTTGGCGTAGAGGTCCCTGCGGATGTCGACGTCGCACTTCATGATGGACTGGAAGGGGGTGTTGTGGTTGCCGCTGGCTTCCCTGCCGGTGAAGCTGGACTGGAATAGCACCTCAGGGCAGCGGGCACGCTCGCTGCCCACGGTGATGATGCTGCCGCCCGGAAGCTCGTACGCCTTCTCCTCGTCCCCAACCTCGGTGGCAGCCTGCATCTCAGTGTTGCAGACGAGGGCAACGTAGCAGAGCTTCTCCGTAACGTCCGCGGCCTTCATCAGGTACCCCGTGAGGTCGCGGCCGGCCAGGTCAAGGCGCAAGATGGCGCACGGCAAGGCATAACCCTCGTAAATTGGCACCCCATGCGACACATCGGCACCCGAGTCCGTCGCGATACAAGTGGCAGGGCCGGAAGCGTGCAACGAGAGCACTGCCGGGATGGCCTCGTACATCGCGTAGAACGTGTGGTGCCAAATCTTCTCCCTATCGTCGCAACTCGTCACGATGCCGTGCTCGATTGGGTACTTCAGCGTCAGCACGCCGCGCTTGCTCTGCGCCCCGTCGCCCACGTAGCCGTCGTTCTGGCCCACCCCGACCATGATGGCCGATCCGAACGCGCCGGCGGAACCGACCGCGCCGCCCCGCCACGGTCCCCCGTCGGCTGGGGGTTGGCAGACAACCTCGGTCGGGGTGCGGGCGTCCTCCTGGAGTGCGGTCCTCCTCATCCTCCTCCGCCTCCTCGTCCTCGCTCTCGGGCGGACCTCCTCCCTCGCCGCTCTCTCGCCATCTGGCGGGCGGAAGGGGGTGGGATTGACCGCCGCGCGGCCCCCCGTCCCCGCTGGCCCAGCAGCCGGCGCCTTCGCTGCCTGCGCCTCTTCATCCTTCTCTCCTCCTACGCCGCCTACTCCTCCTCCTCCTCTGCCGTCGACCCCCTCGGTCGTCGCGAACACGCCAGGCTCGCGCGAGGGCGGCGGGACCGCCTCCTCGGCCTCATCATCCCCGACGGCGCGTAGCTCCGCGACGAAATCCGCGGTGCTGACTCCTGCCTCGCCCCCCGCCCCTGCGGCAGCCTCGAGCTCGTCGATGCGGGCCCGGAGGTTCTCGGCGCCTGTGGCCCCCAGCTCGAAGCTCGTCGTCAGGTGGTCGACGATCGCCATCAAGGTGGCGACGTGCGCGCGGCTCCTCGCCAAGGTCTCCTCGGCACATAATCTGCGCGCCCGCTCGTACTCGCACGCCTGGCTCATCCCTTGGACGAGCCTCTCGGCTATCATCTGCCGTGAAACGCGCTCTCTCCACCGTCGAGTCGCCTCCTCTTCGTAGGCCTGGCGCCACTCCTCAGCACCCACGGCGGCCCGTGACCGCTCTGCCTCCAGGGCGGTGCACCGCGACCGGGCCACGGCCAGCTTCTCCCCGGCGTCGAGCGCCTCGGTCGCCCAAAGCTGCAGGTTGGTGCCCTTCTCGGCCAGCGCAGCCTCCATGCGGCGATGTCGGCACTCGGCTCCCAACACGCAGCAGGCCAACCAACCAGCGGCCAGCCAGCCGAGGTGAAGCAAGTCGAGGCCCAGCCCGCTGCTCCCAGCGCCCCCCACGGAGCTGGCCGCCGCGCGGCTTCGCTCAGCGACGGGGAAAACCGGATCCACCGGAGACGGGGCCTCGCCAGCGCCCGAACCGTTGCTCTGGGCTGCCGGCTGGCCGGACGGTGTCAATGAAGGTCGCTCCGAAGGATCCGGCGCGGCGGGGCTACCCGTAGGTTCGCCACCGCCCCTGCGCCCAGGCCTCTGCCTCAGGGGGGTCGTCGAAGTCGTCGTAGTCGTGGCCGTCGTAGTCCTGGTCACAGCCCGCCGTGCGGACGCCCCCGTCGTCGTAGTCGTAGTCGTCGTGGCACCAGCCGGGCGCGCCCCAGGGGGCTTGGCCGGCGGCCCTCGCCCCTTCCCTGCCGCGGGCGCAGGCTTGGCGGGCGCGCCGCGCCCCTCGCCATGCCCACCACCGCCCGCTCCGGGCGCAGGCTTGGCGGGCGCGCCGCGCCCCTCGCCATGCCCACCACCGCCCGCTCCGGGCGCAGGCTTGGCGGGCGCGCCGCGCCCCTGGCCATGCCCACCACCGCCCGCTCCGGGCGCAGGCTTGGCGGGCGCGCCGCGCCCCTTGCCATGCCCACCACCGCCCGCCGTCTGAAGATTCGGCCCGGGCTTGGGTAGCGCCGTCGGCGCGGGGGCCCCAACGCCCGCCGCGCGACCATAAGGCCACCAACCCATCGCCCCCTGGGCCGACCAAGTAACCATAACTGCCAAGTGCGCCATCAGGAAGCCCGCCGCCATGGCACCGCTCCGCCCCGCGCCAGCGACCCTGGGTCGCTAGCGCGAGGATGCCAGCAGTCCCCGGACTGCAGCACCGCGGTTGTGGCCGCCCCGCGGCCCCCCTGCCCACCCGAGTCCTGGCTCGAACTCGAGCCAACGACTGCGGACCCAAAATGGCTATGGCAAAGCCCCCGCTAGCTCCGCGGCCTTAGGCGCAAGTGGGAACAAGCCGCCCTGCTCGATCTTGCAGGTGATTCCCATCGGGGCGCCGCGCTGCAGCCACTCCCCAACATGGTAATCTGGGTCGAGAGCCTGCTGCTGAACCGCCTGCACCAGGAGGTACCTCCATGGGGGCGCCGGATGGCGCAACTCCCCGGCGCTGGGAGGCAGGCGCAGCGCCGTCGACACGCGCGCCCGTAAGCTGGCGGCAGCGTGTGCCGAGGGCGGCGGGCGGCCAGGGGCCTCGCCGCAAGCTGACGCCAGGTCGACCAGCTCCGGGCACTCTGCGCGCGCCTGGAGGATGGCGGCTCTCACTGGCGCCATTGCCCTGACCAGCTCTGGCCACTGCTCCAGATGCCCTGCCGGGTTCCTCAGGCCAGCTCGGCAACCGGCGTCTTCTCGCAGGCGTGTCTGGCGGGCGCTGTCTTCTGGCTCGCCGAGCCACGGATGCCGGGACCCTGGGGCGCTGGAGCACGCCGCTGCCGCACCCGCCGCCGCTGCTGTCGGCCGTGTCAGCGCCAGCACGTGCTGCTCGCACGCGGTGCAGACGCAGGCGCGCATGCTTCAGCTGTGACAAATGGAGCTTCACTCTGGCCGATAAGAGCAGCGGAGCAGAGGTTGGGCACCTGGCGGGCTCTGCGCCCCTCTCCACAGCCTCGCAGGAAAACTGTTCGTCTGAATTCATTGACGGCGTCGGGAGCTGGATCGGCTCCTCCCGGCGCGCCTCATGCACGTCCCCGGCAGGGGATCAAGGCTTCCAGTTCTTGGGGCGCCTCTCCGCGGGGCAGCACTCGTCCACCGCGCGGTGCGGCCCCAGGCACCATTCGCACTCGTGCGTGCGGGGCGGCTTCGACTTGCAAGGCTCCCCGCACCCGCGGCTGGACCTGTTCCACGCGAAGCACAGCTCCTTCTTGTTGCTGTCGCGGAGGAAGCGGCCGTCCTTCCGGCGCTCGAGAGCTGCGAGCCCCCTGGGCGCCTGGGTCTTAGCCTTCTTGGCCGGCCGGTCGTCGCGCCCCCCGGCCTGGCCAGGCCTCCCGCCCGCCCCCGCGAAGGCGACGTTCGCGGCAGCGGGCGGCGCTGCCGGTAGCTGGAGCTCTGCGCGGGCAGGTAGCTTAGTCAAGCACGGCGTCTCGACGTTCAGCTTCCACCACCCTGCACGCTTGCTCTCTTCCCCGTAGGCAGCCTCCCGGATGACAGCCTCCCAGGGCCTCTCCGAATCGAACGGCTCCTGGTAGGTGCTCGCCTCCACCTTGGACTCGATGTCCTGGCGGATCCTTTCCCAGTGCTCTGCCCTCATGGCATCGTCTGCCTGGCACACGATACCCCAGTGCTGGGGGAAAGTGTTCGCCAAGAGGCGGATGCCCTCTTCGTAGCTGTCCAGGGGTCCTGGCTGGCACGCCTTCAACATGAGCATTCCGGTGCGGAACACCTTCCAGCACGCCCTCCACGTCTCAAAAGACGGCGGCCCAGACAACTGGCGAGTGACCAGCTCCCCCTGCACGAAGATCTGCGCCGTGCACTTCAAGATCTTCTTCTGCTGGCGCCCGAAAGGGCCCCAGAGAGCGAAGTCCGTGCACGGCACGTGGCCCTCCCCCAGTCGTGCAGCGAGTGCCGAGATCTGCTCGGGAGTCACATCTTCCGCCAAGCGGGGCGGGCCGCCGTTCACGAGCTTGAAGTCACTGACGATCTTGCGGAGGGCCTTCTCCGAAAGCATCTCGAACTCGCCCTCGCTGAGCTGGTCGATGTAGGCGTTGTACTTTTGTTTCTTGTCCGGGTCCGCCGGCTGCTGTGCTGCCGCCGGCCCTGTTGCGCTGGCCGGCTCGGCCCGGAGCTGGCCCAAGTCAGGCGGAGCCAACTTGCCGATCTCACAGATTCGCAGCAACAGGCGCGTCGCGGCCCCCTTGACGATGCCGCTCGCTGGAGACCCCTCTACGACCATGGCGCCCAGCGCTTTGCGCATATCCTCGACACGCACACCGAGGACCTCGTCGACCGTGAGGCTGTCGAAGTCCCCCCCCAACGCTTCCGAGATGGAACGGGCGGCGTTCTCTGGGATGGAGTGCGTCTGCGCGACCGCCTGCACGAGCAGAGAGGGGCGGAGCATGGCGGCCGAGCACGCTGTCAGATCACCCCCTATGTGCACGGGAACGGGCACCTGACAAAGTCAAGTTCGCAACTTCGCTTGAACTTGAAATTGCAATGACACGTAATGGAAGAAGCCAAAGTGAGAAATGAAGCAAAACGTGCTGCTACCAGTTCCACTGATGCTACAACACCGAAGCATCCGAGAGAACCTTCGAGGGGCCACAAGATCATTCCCAAAAGTGCTGCACAAGGTCGGCCCATGAGGGCCCAAGATGCATTCACAGCTGCTTTAATTAGGCCTGTGCGGCCAACAGGATGGGAGGAAACTTAGGGAGCTACCTGGGCACATCTGGTCAGGAATATCTGGGAGAAGCCACGGCGCGGGATAAGGACGGACTGTCCCCCCTAATGCCATGAGCTGGTGGGATAAGGCCGACATCGGCCCCCCATTGGCTTGGCCAGGGGATGAGACCACTTGGCCCCCCCGCCGCCAACGCACTGACAATTGTTACCTGCAACACTTCGTGTTTAATCCAACAGGAAGCGCCAGGAGGCCTCGGAAGGCAACAGGAGGCCCCGAGAGGCCCCAGGAGCAGGAGGCCTCAGAAGGCAACAGGAGTGGCTCCAATCCCATGTGTTTTACGTATGCTCCTATCGATTGGGCCTCACCTGGAGCACGATTCTTTGATGTTCTACGTATGTTTCTATAGATGGTCCTTCTCCTGTGTACACAATCCTAAATGTTTTACTCATGTTACTATGTATTGGGCCTCTCCTGGGGCACGAGTCCTTGGTGTTTTACGCGTGTTCCTATAGATTGCCCTTCTCCTGTGGCTCTAATCCGCAATGTTTTATGTACGTCTGTTGCTATAGATTGCGCCTCTCCTGGGGCACGAAACCTTCCTAGGAGGTCCCAGGAGGTCCCAAGAGGCTCCTGGAGACCCCAGGAAGCCCCAGTAGGTTTCAGGAGGCCCCAGGAGGCCCCAGGCTCATGCACAGAGACGCGCTCGTACTACTGAGGCTCATTCACACTCCAATTCATTCGCAGTTAGATTGATGTCCAGACCGTCACAACTGAAGCCCGTTAATATTCGAAAGCTCTTGCGCCTAGATTTTCACGGCGGACAGGTCCATGCGAGTAGATGCACATATGGGGAGCTCCACGCAGTGAATAATTATTCATACAAGTATGGCCCTGCTCATTATTTGTATGAACACTTCTTAGAATGATTCGTCCTGTTGGTTTACGTCTTCATGTAATTACTATTAGCATGGTTAGTGTTACTGTGCTTGTTATCATTATGATTATTAGTATTCATATTTGTCTTCGTCTTAATACGGGTGTTATTATTATTTGTCGTATTATTCTTAGTTGCATGATTATTAGTATGATGAATGAGAATACTAATATTAGGAATCCGCCGATCTGGCGTGTGAGTTTTAAGGAGTCTCAGCTACAGCCTCGAGGCTGAGCCTCAGCCTCTGGGGGGGGTGCCGGGGTGGCTCTGCCGGGGAAGGGGGGAGGGGGGGGGGTGCGAGTTTCCGGCGGATGCGGGGGGGCTGCTTTTACAGAAGGCTCTAATCTCGAGGATGCGCTACAAGGGTGGCCGCGGCCGCAAAAGTCTCTTAGGACGGTCTACGAAAGTCCCGAGACCCCGAAAGATCGCCCGAACACGCCCAAGATGGCCCCAAGACGGCCCAAGAGCCTCCCAAGACGTCTGAAGAGGCCTCCAAGAGGCCTCCCACGAGGGCCCCCAGAGGCAAAAATCGTTGATTTCCCTTGGTTTTTGTTCATGTTTTTGGGGTTGTCGCTTTTTTCGGCTTTCCGACGCTCCAAGACGGCCCAAGAGGCTCCCAAGACCTCTCGAAGACGGCCCAGG